GAGAGGCCAAGTGGGTTTTTGGGAGGGATAGCCCCCCTCCGCACTAATTCCTATGTGTGTGCTGTATCTTGATTTGTATACAAATGTATTGTAACATACAAGATGGAGAAGAAATTTTATAGCTTCAGTGCATAAAATTAATTTTCCCCTACTTTATAGTTCAGTTCAAAGTTTCAATTTGAAACTCCAATTTTTCCTGGCGATTTTTGCCCCTTTGATCAATGGAACACGCCAATAAGTGACGAGTAACATAGCGGGAATTCGAAGTATCATTGGAAACATATTCCTGCTCTTCTTTCCTGCAGGTAAATTTACTTGAAAACTACTGTAAGTAGTAAAATCGAAATAGCTTGATGATGCGACTGCTGAAAATGAATAAAAATTTTACGGCGAAAATAAAGGAGAGGAGTGAGGAGTTTAACGCAACTTGAGGAAAGCGAAGGAAGAGCATGAGGATGAGGAAGAAAAAGAATGTGGGAGACGTGCATTCCATAAAGTAGGTGTGATAGCGTTTTCTCCATGCGTTTTTCTCGAAGAAAAATAAGAACCCGACCCGCATTGAATACTGAAGGTGCCTATTTGCAATGCGCAGTCCATAATAAATAGGGAAAAATATATATACATATAACGTAAATCGAAGTTGAACGAATGATTGTTACGGAATGATCTGTATGGTAACATTGAAAAGTATCCATTCGGCCTCTATCGCTTCGTCCGCAACGATGGTCATAGAAAAGGATCGCCATTCACCATGTCAGTTGATATCAAAGCGAGGCTGCCAACTGAAGGAGAGGACAAATACATGTATCTGGATATAAATTGATCTACAGTCCATAAAGCAGTACAGCCTAAAAGCCCACGGAAGTTCTGCATCTAAGTCCAGTTTTAGCTATCGCACTCTTTGATGAAGCCAAATTCGAAGTAACTCAACTTTGTTGGAGGCTAATCGGACATCCGATGCACAAAACTGCATTATGATTTGGGCACGGGTAAAATCTAAGTAGGTATTGCGAAACTATTTTAGTTGACTTAAATTGTGTAAAAGTATTACTTTCGGCAGTCAAGATTATGTTTTGCCTCGTTACGACTAATGTAGGCACTTAAAAGTAACGGTTTTGTAAATTAACCCAATTAAACATAAACAAACGTCTCGATTAGAATACCACTCAGCGCTACTTTTATTACTAAGTACAGAATGGAGATAAAAAGGATGATATTGGCCATCGATAAGTAAAGTCAGAGCTCTGGAGGAAGACTGTTTAAGCAAGGGTTCACATGGTAAACTGAAACGCCGCTTCAAACAAATGTTATGTCACCTATACATTTGGTCCCCTGGATCAGATGATTGAAAGCTCCAGATAAATCAGCAATTTAAACATTTTGTTTTGAAGTCCTAAAATTCGTCACTTTTGATAAAAAAAAATGTCATACCAGGTTCTTTCTTTATTGTTACCTATCTAAACAACTTTTGCTTTAATACACCACTACTACAAGAACTATAAGATTTGTATTTATCTATGCGAATTAAACTGAAGGAAATCAAAGTCACAATGGTATTACCGAAGCAACAAAGTAACGTTAGATAATACAGGTTACCTGACAGAGCAGAATTTTAAAAATTATTTGACCCTTGTTTGAGGAAATTAGGTTTACAAGATTAACTAGTTTAATTACATTTTTTGTCATTTCTCTTTCCGCTCTTCACTCACATTCTCATTCATGATGCTTTACAGCAAAATCAGATTTTAAATACTTCGATTTTGAAAACTATTCACAGATTTAATTGAATATTTTTTTTCTCAGCGAGAAAGTCGTTGAAAACTTTCAAGTCACAATTTTTCGATGGAAAAGTTTCCTGGCGTAGCCTCTTATGAAAAGCAGAGGATCTCTCTCCCCTAAATTGGGCAGAAGTGTAAGTACATATTTTTTCTCAGGATGACGATGATCATATAGGAAAAAATATTTGACGGTACATTTAACAACCATGTACGAAACCGGACCACTAGAAATGCAAATCACAACGCAGTGTAAGTTCAGGGTGATTACGCCACGCGTCGCGTAATCTTCGTCCAAGTGCAAGTGCAACGATTGCATTACGTGCACTTAAGGAGGCACCGTCGCCGAATCGCATGCGAACTCCCATTCTGCTGTGCTAGGGAGAAACGCCGTATAAACCTTCAGATGTTGCCAAATTTCCTTTGATAAAGTACGAATTTTCCAGGGAATCTGCACATAGTTTTCCTCAAGATTTTCAGGGAATTGTATTCGCAATCAGATCTGACTTATCTGAAAATTTCAAGAGAAAATATTGATGAGTCTCCTCAAAAATTAACATTATATCAATATCGGAAGAAATTTGGCAACTCTCGAATGTTCACGCAGCGTTTTTTCTCAGTACGGCAGCATGAAATAAGTCAATATGCGGAAAATTTGAGTTTTAGCACTAGATGAGGCAATGGTGTTGGTGTTCTGGTTTGCTTTTTTACTCAGAGCTAGACGTAATGGAAAATAATGAACGTTTTCAGGCCGTATTGCTCTATTTAAAATTCGAAACTCACGATTTCACGTAAGTGCAGAGAATTTCTCATTTTCAAAGGAACTTACCGAGTCCCATTTTTAAGCTGTTTTATCTTCTTTTGACATTGGATATTCTGAGAGCTTCAAAGTAAATGTCAAGAGAAGATTTTTTTTTTTCAAACTTAACTCTGTCCTTACCCGTATAGTTATGAATAAATCAGGCATTGGATACCTACCGGTGCTTTTGTTGGTAAGAAAATTATTAAATTCCTTTAAAGAGAAATAATCCCCACCCCGTCCCCCCGAAAAAATAAAATACAAATACTTGTACACAATTAATCCTGGGTCACCATAAAAGACCAATAAACGCAATAGAAGTTTATAAGATACAAAATATGTCCTTTCATTGCAAATTCTTTGAGATATTTTAGTCACGGTTTAAAGAGCGTTCAACCAACTGTGGGCTGGTTTTTCTTCAGTAAAAATTTTCTTAGGACCCGATGGTTTACCCAGTAAATTTATTTTTTCAATTTACTCGTACCATATGATATACATGTTGCTGTCTAGTAAAATCATGGGCTTAAATTCTTCAAATCTCACTATTTTGCCTGTGCAATGATTTTTTACTGTTTGCTGGTACTGGGATCAAGATTTTTAAGTTACTCTCGGATTCCAGACACTTAAATGAAACAATAGCATGCCGTCACTGTCATTGGATTACAAAGTTGCTACTTGGCAGTGAAAAACAATACAATTTTTCATTCAGTCTAATGGCTTACAACACAATTTACCCACTCGAGGTTTCAACAGCGCACATTTAGTTTCCGTGCGACGTAGCAATCGCGGTCGCTGATTGACTGGCTGTGACGTTTGTCGACGCTTATCACCAGTCTTAAATGATGATTCATTTATTTATACTGTTTTTTTCTCTCGGTTTTCCTCTCTCCCTCTGGGTGAAGAAATTGAGGCATGGGTGATTGGGTGTTCAAGGTCGCATAATGATTCCCCTTATCTATTCATGAACCGTTAAATGTCACATTTATATTGACATTGAACTACCAGTCTGCACAGACTTGCCTGGATTGCCAAGTTGAATGCGTGCGGAATGCAAACCTTGGACGTAATTTTGGGGAGCAGGGAGCGAAGAGCCATCCTCCATTGACGCAGCGAAGAGCCATCCTCCATTGACGCAGAGTACCTCTTCAGTAATTCAGTAGACAATATCTGACAAACTATCGAAAGAGAGTGCGTCACATTGATCATTACGAAATCTCGAGCACGTAGATTGGCAAAAAATTTCAGGAGTACTTATGTACTACATACAAAACTAAATTTCACGGATGAACTTGACCTAAAATTTCGATTTCCAACTTTCCAGACTCTGACGTAAATGACTTAATGACACTAACGTAAAACGATTTTTTTAAGTTTCCAAGTTCCACCATTCATGAATCTTGTTTTGCCGGGTTTCAAAATAGGCGTTTCCATAGTGAGTCATCAATTTTGAGCGGGAATGAGGGTTTTTTGATAATCAATGGTCGGATTTTACACTGTTCGACTTCTTGCCGCCTTTTTTTAAATTTCCTTTTTCATTTTTCTCTCTTACTTTTGAAGTTCCCAAAAATTAACTATATTTCTCCGATTCTGCGTTAAAAGTACAGACTATTTCCTCTGCAAAATGAAAACCTCAACAGCTTCAAAAGGGAGTTCGGGGGCATCTCTCCGGCTTTGAAGTTTAGAAGAAGATCCGGGGGCCTCTCAGAGCTCTTCCTACAGAAAAGCTCATTCAAATACAATTTCAAAGATGAAAGATATTACTTCAGCTTATTGCACAAAGTCAAATTACTAGTGGCTAGCGAATAGCCCCCCCCCTTCCTGCAATTCCGCCTACGGTCATCAAGGAAAAGGCTCACCAGCCTACATTTTCGAAGATGCACGGGTTTCGAGTGTCCGAGATTTAGAATTTTCGTTTGCGATTTATATTAATCTCCTAACTTTAGGTACCAATCCCCGGTCACCTCCTCAAAATGTTCCGACTGTGGGGTGGCGTGCCTTGCGATAAATCGATTTATCTGCCATTTAAACCTATGGAAAATGATCGATAAACAGGATGTTCGCAGCGAACACCTTGATAATCGATCCTTTACCATAGCTGCAAATGGGGAAGTATCGATAATCGATCATTCACGCTTCGCCACCGATTATCGATTTCTGTCTTTTCCGATTATCCGCACCACCTCTGAATTCCATCAACTGACACGATGATCACTCCATTATCGTATGAAAGCAATGGCGACAATTTTTACTATGTTGCAGTACCATTAAATTATGACTCCAAGTATCAGCTTATGATATCTTATTTGGAATTCGAACCTGACTAGCTGCGGCTCGTGAAATAGCCGAAGCGTTAATGAGTCTGTGAATGTGACGTCATGCGACCCGGCGAGTGAGTGACCTAATAATTGTGTCTCGTTTGATTCCAGATAAAGGCGACGAGGAGAAGGACTATGAACTCGTGCCCCCGGACGGGGGTTGGGGGTGGCTCGTGCTGTTTGGGACCCTCATCGTCAACCTCCTCGTCCCGGGGATGATCAAGTCTTTCGGGGTGCTGTACGTCGAGATCGGGGAGCAGTTCCAAGTTTCCAACGCTGTCGCATCCTGGATCCCGTCCATCTGCTACTTCCTCTACTGTTCGCTGAGTAAGTCCCATTGAACTTTTTTTAACAGTATTGGCGCCTAGCGGTGGAGAGGAAATGGGTATATTGCACGCCCATGCAGGGTTCCACGAGTGACATGAAAAATATGAAGGATTGTATATTTCCAGGAAATATTTCATGAAACTTCAGAGTTGTGCAAAGTATGGAACATTTTTTCGGGGGCTAAGCCGGAAAAATACGCTTAAAAAAACGCTGTAAAAGCGACTTACACACACCTTTACATCATGCGATACGTAAGATTTGCTGTGAAATATAATTATCGCCTGGCTCACTCTTTTGAAATAAACTAACGCAAAAATGACAAATAAGGCAGTAAGTAAGTTCACACTCTTGCACACTGTTTGTTTTGTCAAGCATGGCCTGACTTTACATTGTTTCACTTCCAAGTTCCACTGAATCGGCTATTTTTTTTTCAATTATGTGAAGCCGAAAAACCTAATAAGTTTGTTATACCTAAAAATGTGAATATTTTGGACTAAAAGGCTGTCATCTACTCTTTTTGACAGTATTCTTTTTCTTCTGTATATCCCGATCAAATTCTGACGTAACTGCGAACATTAGCATGTGTCAAGAACATGTTACTGTCCTCATTTTAAAAGACAAACCCTGCCATTAATTCCTAGAAAAGAGAAGATACTACATGTAGCGATGATAAAAAAAGAAAAATGAAGTAGAATACTTAAAAATCTTCTGGATTCGATAAATTCGAGCTCAAAATTCTGGACGTTATCAATCAAGACAAAGGCATTCTGTCTAGAAGCACCGTCGATGAAAGATTATCGGTGGGCGTTGCGCAATGTCAAGAAGCTCCGCACCACACTAAAAAAGCGCGCGAAACTTATCGTCGAATTGCGAGAGAGCAACGATCTCTTAGCTATTTAAAAATCTGGTATTTTCCATTTAACGTGCAAATGGCTCAAATTCACGACCAAGGTTAGAGGCGCGAGTTTCGCAACACGTGTAATATATCACACTCACTATTTTTGAACCACGTTATATTTACAGAAGCTCATTGTTGACGCACAGTAGCGGGTCCAGGAAGTGATGCCTCCGTCCCATTTTCTTTTCCCAATCATAAAATCACGATGAGACAAGGGAGAGAAGTGACAAAGGGGATAGAACTGCGATTTACGTTAATGGCAAAGAGAGCTCACTGGCCAATATTTATTGAATTACATTTTGCAATAAGGAACCACCATTTCTGGCTCATTTTAGAAACAACATATATGCCATTGGTTTCCCTGTGCAGAAAGGTACTTTTATAGAGGAGCCAGAGATAGTGGTTCTATGTTGCAAAATGTAATCCTACTCTTACTGAGGAACGATTTGAGGATAGGTTTGGCAAGCCGGAATGATCCCCTAATTTTGGAAAAATTGAGTAAAGTGGAGACGGTAGATATTAATAAGAAAAATTAAAACCGTGAAACAGGATTTGGACTACATAGTGAAATTGGGAACTACGTTTAAATACGCTTTAATACTTATGCTACCTCTGGTGGAGCTACACTGGAAAAAAAACACATTGGATCTAGAGTCCAAACTCTTGAAAACTTAGATAAGAAAAAATACTCTTGATTCAATCAGATTTAAGCTTAAATCAAAAGGAAATCCGCTCAAATTAAGAGGCTTGGTTCTTGATTTGAGCAAAAATCCGATTGAATCAAGAAAATTTTTTCTTGTCGATGTTTTTAAGAGTCTGGACTCTAGATCCAATGTATTTTGTTTTCCCAGTGTATACTGTGCCAGAATAGTTCTCAGTGTTTCCCTCTCTTTCCCATGATTAGTTTGCGAAATGCGAGTTGAAGACGAGCTGCGTAGAGATACTTGAAAAGTGCGATCTTGAGCGAAATGCGTGAGGAAAGAGACAATCGCGCCAAGACTCTCGCGGTAAACAAATAAAACTCTCGTTCATTTAGTGCAATTACTTTGCTGCGCCACTTCTAGCCTTTGTTGACGGAAATCCAATCGCGGCTCGCGATGGGAATTTTTTGCACCGCTTCACTGATTCCGAGCTCATTTTCCAATTGAACAACGGAGCACTCCTGGCAGTCGGTGCTGACATGTTATTAGCGTCAGCAAATTACGCGATCATACGATTAGATGTCATACGAAGAAAAAGTATCGAGACTCAGGCGCAGTTGGAAAATTTTCTTAGTGGGATGGGGAGCTCCGCGTAATCGTAACTCTGTTACGACTCAAGTTCCAGTAAGAGGAGTAAGGGTTGAGGCAGTCTGTCTTACACTGGAAAAAAAACACATTGGATCTAGAGGCCAGACTCTTGAAAACATTGACAAGAAAAAGGACTCTTGATTCAATCAGATTTAAGCTTAAATCAAAAGGAAATCCGCTCAAATTAAGAGGCTTGGTTCTTGATTTAAGCTTTAATTTGATTGAATCAAGAGTATTTTATCTTGTCGATGTTTTTAAGAGTCTGGACTCTAGATTCAATGTGGTTTTTTCCAGTGTAGGCAATCATAAGAATCAAATTTTACTCAAAGTTCCAATTTTAGTTTTCCCACGTAAGAAATTGAATTTTGTGTTAAGAAACGACGATACAAAGAGAGAAAAAAACACTGCATTGCTATATTGAATGTACCAAACAATCAACTCCTACGCTAGTGATAATGCAGTGTCAACGTGACAAAGCACATTTACATGCGAATACGCATCTGTTCTTGATTTGGCCCGTTTTTTTAAAATAAATTTCAAATTTTTGAGGTGTCACCAGGCCTGAGGTGCAAATTTTTAATAAAGGAGGCGCTGTACTCATTTCAGTCAATGTTCATTCTGGAGAATTCTTGTTCTCGTTGAAACTAGAGAGGTAATGCGGTGTTCACTCGGGCAACCTCACATGTACGTACATGACTATGTCAGAGCGAGACCAATAATTATTTCCCTAACTAATTCAATGAGAGCTTTCGTCTCTTTCTGTCGCTCTGTCAGCGAAGGAATGAAGTTTGTTCAGTTGCATGCGACCCCATGTTTTTATCCGCCTCTTCTTTTTTCCTGGAGAGCACTTCTACCGAGAAGCGAGGGAAATGTTCTCATTCAGCGAAACTAGTTAAAGGCTCACTAAAGGACATTCTCTCGTCAAGAGCTTTTTCGTTGAGGGGGCCGTGTCAGAGGGTTGGATCGATCAGCTCTTTTTTACGCGATTAACGGCGGAAAAGTGTCGGAGGTGCCTTAATTGCTTGCAGGTCAAGGTCTCTCTGTTATTTAACCTGTGTATTGTGTTTTTCGGGAATGGTGACATCATAGCTGGTACTGATGACACGAACAGTTCAGTTGTGCTAGTCACAGAATCGTGTTTTGATGCTTGATTCTTATACAGATCAGCTAAAAATAAAAAGGTTTGTCCAGGCAGCAACTTTCTACACCTATTTTTGGAGGAAGGATGGGGGGAGGGGGGTTTAAACTGATTTCAAAAATTTGGGAAAAATTTAATTTATTGAACGAGGTTCCTACGGAGGGTTATGGTTGAGTCATGAGACATGTTAAAGAACACTGGAAAAAAACACATTGGATCTAGAGTCCAGACTCTTGAAAACATCGACAAGAAAAAATACTCTAGATTCAATCGGATTTTTGCTTGAATCAAAACGAAATCCGCTTAAATTAAGAGGCTTGGTTCTTGATTGAAGCTAGATTCTGATTGGATCAAGAGTACTTTTACTTGTCGATGTTTTTAAGAGTCTGGACTGTAGAATTCTAGATCCAATGTGTCTATTTCCCAGTGAACTTGTCGTATAGCTGACATTTTCCATTTCTTAATTCCAGTTGACGGCACATTCTGAAAAATTAGGACGTATCCCTGCATATTGCACATCATGCGCTGCTCCGGCAGGACAATGTGACCTCAAGCTGATTTTCTATGGTTCTATTTTTTTTATGAGAGGGTCAATAGAGAATCAGCACGAGGGCGCGCGCTCTGAGTCCATTGATAAACTGATTCCCATGGAACTGCAAACAAAATGAATGGCTATGTGTACCTGATTATTCCACAAGTTATCGCGATTATTTCTAGGGTTTTTATATCCATAAAGAATGCACCTATATCGCCTAGCAGATAACTTTGTAAATGCATGATGCCGAACTGGGTCAAAAAACAGAGAATGAAGAATGCGTTTCTTCTGAGCCACGTGCTGCCGTGCTGAGGAAAAACGCCGTATGAGCATTTTAATGTTGCCAAATTTCTTCTCAAACAGTATTAAATTGTGAAAACAGTTATGAATATTTTCCCTTGAAATTTCCAGACTTAAAAGATAATTTTACACTGAAAAAAAAGTAGTTAGCGTTGAGAACTAATTTGGTAAGTTCTCGCCAAGTAGAATCAAAATTAGGCTTCAGAACTAATTTATTGTACTGAAGCACCAATCAATTCGCTTCATACGCTGACTTGACTTTACTAGAGCGCGAACCAGAATTGGAAAACAGCACTAGCTGTAAAATTAGCGCTGTGGTAAGACAAATTCACCTTCGGGTCAAACTAATTCGCCCTCAACACTAACTGCCACATTGTCCGTTACATTTATTTAGTTTCGAAAAAGTGGCGTCGGTACAACAGCCTCAATCACGTCAGCTCGTGAAAATCAATTAAAATGTGAAATTTCGGGCTCGTTTGACAATGTAAATACTCCCGGTATGATTTATAGTGTCCTCTCTTTCTTGAAAACGTTCGAAAGCAACATAAATAAACCTGTTAAGGTTAGAAATTGTCTGTTCGATTCAAAACGTAAACAAGCATGATATTCGTTGGAGTCGTCAATCTTCTGTATTAAATTGCGATTAAAGCATTCCGCGTTCAGTTTATATTTTACGAAAATCTGTGAACTTACTGCTTACTTCTATAGTTCGTGTTCTCCCGTAATTTCAAAAGAATATCTCAAGTGTTCGGACGAGATATGTTTATTCAGTGTGAACATTCGCTACCGTTTCACGTGTGAGTGTGTGTCTCTCTAAAGGATAATTCTGTCTACTTGCAC